ATTTCTTACATTGTTAATTATTTATTTTTGCTTAGTATTTCTATTGTCCTTATTGGCTTTATTTTTGGCATAATTACAAGCTTGTTTTTATATTTAGTGAGATTAGCATTAGATGTAATAATCTTTGAATTTCATTTGAACATTGTAACTTAGTACTAATTTTCTGTTTGTATTTTTAGTATTTTTATTCTTTCTATTTTTATCCTAACTCATTGGTTATTTTTTTTTCTGAGGTTAGCATTATATGTAATGTCTGAATTTCTTAATTATCACTTATTAATTTTTGACTAGTATTTTTAAAATCTTTTTTCTGTTCCTTTTTCATAACACTTGACTCATTATTCTATGACTATTAATATATTTTGAATATGTATTTAAAATTAATATTGAATCTAATATTCTTAGTGTAAATTAAACAAAAATATTATGTCATATAATGGAAATCAAAGAAGACAAGTATATATAGATTTAAATGACACATACTTGTGATTTATTTTGTGGCTACATGTATAAACTGCTGTCAAAGTAACTGTTGTGTAATCAGGATTTGAATGTTTGGATAAAAATATATTTCCAAAGAAATATGGATGTTTTTATTTATTATCTGACAGATTTTATTTTAGTGGATGTCCATATTTGAGTAAACACTACATTTGTTTATTAAACAGTATATTTATTTATTTTTGTTTCGCAACCAGAATATTCAAGAAATCTTATTAAAGAAAAATATCTGCTCTCTGGCAGGATTTGAGCCTGAATCCCCTTTGCAGGATAAACCGTCATTAGATTGGACCTACTGTAGACCACCTCAGCCATGGACTGCATTGCCAATCATTGTCTAATAAATAAAGAGAGCAGCTACTCAAATATGGGTATCCACTAGAATAATGTTTAAAGTGATAAAAAAAATTAGTGTCAATAAAGTTAAGTAAATATCATTAAAAAAAAAAAATAATAATTAATATTTCAACATTTAGTCAGTTGTCATGCAGGATAATATGAATAAAACACACTGGTCTTGCTCAATTCAAATGATATTTAAATAAAATTGAAGAAAATTACAAAGATGATATGCTAATAAATGCTATGTAGATAAATATGAAGATAATGATATTTTTTTTTAATCATTTCACCCCAAGCAAGGCAGGAATGCAGGGGTGGGGGGTTACAGAGAGTAGAAGAAAAGACTGGATATAAGGGGGATTGAAGAAAGGATAAATGATGAACAGGGTTCAAGTCAACAGTAGATGGTGATTGACATTGCATTTAAATTTTTGAAGATGGTAGTTATCAGGGAAGCAAGTAAATGGAAGGGAGTTCCATAGGTGGCAAGTGCAAAAAAAGAAACTGTTGGAGTAGAAGTGGTGGTTACATTTAACTAATTCAACAGTAAAAGAATAGGACCTAATTGCCAATCTAGTAGCATGCTTAAATTCATGTAGTAGGGGCATCAGGGATGAAAGCTCATCAGAGCAGCTGCCATGAAAATATTTTTAGAAACTGACTAAAGTCAAGATGCCAAGTTAGGTTCCATTACATTGCAGATCCTTTTTTAGATTTTGTCAAGAATGTCAAGATGAATAGCAGGAGCACCAGACCAATTATAGCAAGTGTATTCAATGCACGGATGAATGGTAGATTTGTAAATGTGCAAGATGGACTCTGACAAGAAAAACTGTTTGGCATGACACAATGAACCAACTTTCCTTGCAGTAGATGCAGCTATTGATTCAATGTAGTCATTCCACTTCAAGTCAGCTGAAAAAGTGAGGCCAACAAAGTGCAGTGTTTTGCTCTCCAGTAGTCTAATATCAGCCATATTGATTGTGGGCATGGAAGTTTCTCTATGGAGGTTAAATGAGAGCAGTTTTGTTTTTGAGGCATTAAAATTTACAAGCCATTTCCTGACACAATTAATCACTGATTGGAGCTTCTTTTCAAAAGCAGAAGCCAAGTTGAATTTGCTATTTAGATAGGAGTAAATGGTAGTGTTATCTGCATAAATGCCAACTTGGGAACTGATGACATCAGGAAGATCATTGATGAAAATCACAAATAGTGTAGGACCCAGGATAGAACCTTAGGGGACACTTGCATTAATGTGAAAGGAAATGGAAGTGAGCCCATTCAAAATGACCTTCGTTTCACAATTTGATTCTTTGATTTAATCTAATCATTTCTATCGTCCAGAAATACTGTAGCCCTGGTGCTTATGTAGAAGACCAGTATGCCAAACCCTGTCAAACACCTTCGAGATATCTAGAGCCATAATTATGAAGAGCACATCAGCAGTAAAACTGGCAAAACGGAAGCCATTCAGTTGCAAATAAAGATATGATATTAAAATAATGATATGAAGATGAATATGAAGATAAGGATATGTAGATATAAAAGAAGACAAATTTAAACAAGATAATGTTGAAAGTAATGTCAATAAAATTGAAGAATGAAATTGTATTAATAAATTTCTCTTTATATCAACTGATATCCTTAAACTTAGTTCTATTGTGCAAACCTAAATGAACACTATGAAAGATGATTTAAATGCTTGTTCTTTCCTATGCTAATATAAGCCCATGCAGCAAGCCTCTATCTTGTATGGCTCTTGGGCCTTGTATTTGAGTACAATAGTAAAAAAAAAAATTGTAAATTGCTTTTTGTTCTATGGTAAGAAGCTTGCTGGCATATTCCACTTCCTCTCTTTCTTCACTGGCTGTTGGTACAAGATATGTAATTGACATCATTGTCGGAAACAGGCCAATAACTGCTTGCCTCTGTTTGTCTCGCAAATTAAAATTAACTAGGATATGTTATGTAGAAAGAATACTAATTAGAGAATGTTGTAGTGGTGATAAGTATCATAAATAAATAATCACTATAAAAGAATTTCTATGATCCCCAATACTAATAAAATTAATAATAACTAAACGAAGATCAGAAGGAAAAAAAAAGATATCAATGTTAATAGCAAAAAGGTGGAAATGAGAGTGAGTGAAAGAGAGAGAGAGAGCGTTTTAATGGAAACCAAAAATCAGAAACAAAAGTGTCATTTTTTTTTTCTTTCAGAATATAGAAATAAAGATGAAAGCAAATTATTCAAAGACGAAAAAGTAAACAAGCCTAAAAAATGAAATACTCTTGCAGAAGAATTTATACACGAGAATGTGGGCTAAAATGAAAGAGTCAAAAGAAACCACCTATTGATGCAGATAATCATTTGACAGAAAAAAAAAACCCCAAGGGCTGCATCTTTGGGCCTTCTTTAATGGGCTCCTGTGATCTACTCTCACTCCAACCCTCCCAAGACTTCAGTCAGTCTAATGACTCATTAGCTAAAATGTTGTGTGTAGATACAATTAACTAGTGGAAGTGGAGAGTGCATTATGTTTCCTTGTTATATACATTGCATTAAACTGATAAGTTATACACTGTAGCTTCTATCTCTCATCGAACCCTCCACCACATCATCTCACTTTGTGACACCCAGTGTCAACATGGAGTGCACGGTGCCATTACATCAGAATGTTTGCAGTTAACAAAGAGTGATCAGAGACTTAGTCTTTTGCTCAAAGTGATTAACATTTCAGTCCACTGGTTTCAATTAATGCAATATTTTATGCTTGATTACACTCATCTCATCAACATCTTCTATTGTCATGGGGTGAGATTAGACAATTTAAAAAATTTTTTTTTTATTTTGCAGACAGTGTTATATTGCTTCTTTTTCATATTCCTTCTCCTCTAGCTTCTGTTTTAAAAGGAAGTATTTTTAGCAAGAAGCATTCAACTAGTGCATTCCAAAGAATTGCCCCGTTTACAGGACTGTCTCAATCAGTTGTTGGTTTCTATATTGATATATTTTAGTGAGATAACAAAAAATAAATAATAAATGAAATGAAAAAAAGGAAAATTATTAGATTCATAATTTTTTGAATGCATATATATATATATATATATATATATATATATATATATATATATATATACACGCACACGTGTGTGTGTGCTAAAAGAAAACAAAACTTGGTGATATTATTTGGATAACAATGCAAGCAAAAGAATTGTGAGTCAATCTGTTTCACTGTATTAAAGAAAGGTAAAGGGTAGCAACAATAGAGAAACACATCAAGGCTCATAAATTTCTTTATATTTTTTTCATGATTTCTGTTGTTACTTTTATAATCAAGAATGTCTTGACATTGAAAACAAGAAGGTTTTTCAAGGAGTATTTGAGAGCGAGTCAAGTGAGAAAATTTCTAATTTTTTTTAAAGCCGAATTTGTCGTTCAAGTGAGGACACAGCCTTCTGCACATTTATACACCAACAAAACCTGAAGCATGTTTTTTTTTTTTTTTTTATTGTAGGGAATGGGGTGTCTTTGACAGCTATCAAAGATCTTTGTTAGTAGGGGACAATGGAAAGCAATTTCCCAATAAAAATGTCAATATCATTTTTCTTTCATTCCCTCTTTTTTGATAAAAATGTCAATATCATTCTTCTTCATCTTTTTATTCTCAGATTTTTCTCTTCCTTATTATTATTATTTTTATTTCTATTTCCATCTCTTGATCTGACCCTGAAACATGTCCTGAAGCACTGTACAGTGTTAGAAAGAGAAAATAAAGAAAAAAAATTCCTAAATAATCCTTTTTTTTTTCTTTTTTCTCCCCAAAGGTTACAAATGTAAAAGGTCTGAATGAAAGGTACTTCAAATATCTATAAAGATCTGAATTAATCATAAAAAGGTCTATTTTTCATGAAACCAAAGAATCTCTGTAAATAGTGCATATAATTTGGCTCTTACAGATATTTCCTAAGTTTGATTTCAGAAATATTGATAAGGGACAATTGAGGGAAAATGTTTGGAGAAGTAAATTGTCATAAATAAAGATGGCTTTTCCTAACTTTAAAATCGGCATTCCAAATTTTGTTTTGTGTTTCTTACCTGGGCTTGAACTAATACTGTGGAAAGATAAGCAACATCAACCACCAAAACAGCTTATGACCATATCACGTTGAAACACCGATTTTTGTATAATCACTGAAGTTAAGCATCATTGATCCTGGTCAGTATCTAGATGGGTGACCACTTAGGAATACCAGGTGCTGTAAGCTTGGATGTGTAGATGGTGTAATGGATTGTTAATTGGAGAGCAGAGTTCCAATTCTAGTTAAATATTTGGATAGTGGGGATATACAGGGAGTGTAACGGTTTATAGGTTGGAAAGAGAAATTGGTGAGTCAAGTTCAAATTCTGCTGCAGTTTGTTATATTCACTTACATGCAAATACCCTCAGGAAAGGTATAAATCCAACTTTTCTCCTCCCAGCTATGGTTTAAATAGTAAGATGTTTATCACTAAAACATTATTTAAAAAAAATTCTTACAATCTAAAAATATTTTCTGGCTTTAAATAACCTGCAAAGGGTTGATAAGCCACAAAAAATGAATCACTCAACCACCAAAACAGCTCAAGATTTGGTTCAAATATATTTATATAATGTTTTTGTTAAATGGAATTTATATTTTTATCTTGATTCCTTATTTCTATTCTTTATTTATGATTGATGTCTGACAATTGTAAAGTTTTATTTTGAATAAAATATGAATATTTGCCATGCCTCATTCATAATTTTTATCAAGCACTTCATAATTATTCCTATAACAGATTTATTTTGGCAGTAACATTTGATTTAATTTTTTACCAATTTTGTTTGTTTGTTCCAATCCTACTAGAATGACTTTTAAGAACATCCCCTCCCCAAATGTATTGATGAATCCTATAGATGCATGCTGGGACTTCTTCTTAACCAATAAAAATGAACCAATTCTCACTCTCTCTTGCCATATTTTTGTTCTTTCTTGTCTTGAAGTTAGAATGCTATAATTGCTTGAGTGTATCACTTTTTTTGTGTGAATGCAATTCTTACTTTGTAAAGTTTTTGCCTTATTACTGTTTTGACTTGAATATATATGATAATGGTAATATAAACCGTTTCCCTACAAGGAAATATTTAACGTTCATTGACCGAGCTGCCAGTACTGATTTCAGTTGAAATTTATAAAATCTTAAAATAAGTTTTTAGAAAAACAGATTTCTCAAGCTCACTAGTTGTTATTGCTCTTTCCAGTATTGATGAAGAATTTTAAAATGGACTCTTTATTTAATCTACAGTGGGTAGATTGTTCTCATTCTGCTGTTCATATTTAGAGATTATTTCCTGTAGTTCTTATCCTGAGACATAGTAAGTTGAATGAGAACAATCTACACTTGTAGATTAAATAATGGGTTCAGTCTGAAAATCCTTGAAGATTACCCAAATCAAAAAGCACCTGATGAAGGCCAAAATGAAGGATAATAATTCACATGTAAATAATGATTAATTCTCATCCCAGAAATTCAGACAGAAATTGTTTTTTGCTCTAGATAATTCTAGCCAAACATCTTTGGCCATGATCATTAACAACCTGTGGTTAAGAACTGTGCTGTTCATGGTGAGTGGTTATGTCTTCCATTAGGTATTCTCAGGATACACTTGACACTGTAAATTGAGGGATGTCTCTTACAATCTCAGAAATGGGATGTTCTGTTCAAGCTGATGTCAACTTGCCATGAGCAGTCAAGTTAGTGTTCACACTGTCAGATCACAACTGGTACAATTCTGGGAGAATTCTATGAAGTCAATGTATGGTGGTGCCACCTACCATTACCTTTACATACTACTCTACGATGACTTTTGTCATGTCAGTGTATGAAGGATTTAAACAAACCTTTAGTAATAACTGTTATATATTGAACTGGGATGTGGAGTTGTATCCCTTTGTCTCAAGTGAACCAATGTATTGGGTTATCTGTCCTTTATTCCTTGGGGGCATCTTTTTGTGGTACCTAATAAATGGGTAGTTAGACAGGCACACATTTATGCTGTAAGTAAATTCTGTCTTTTGTAGTCTTTATCAGTTTCAGTATATTTGAATATTATACAACAATTGGTGACAAGTTCAGCAAACAATAGTTATCAGTAAAATACAGTAGTGGAACATCTGGGGAAGCAACAACTCTGCGAAGTGAATTAACAGATTGCTCTGCAATAAGACAAAGAAATGGTACTGCTGGGAACAAGTGCTGAGGAAGAATGTGCACATTATGTTGAAAGAATAAAATTTTTCTTCACAGCTAATGAAGTATTAACTGAAGGTAAGAAACATGCAATTTTTTTCATCTGTAATTGGCACTAAACATTATGCTATCCTTAGAGGCCTTGCTTAGAATAGGCCAGAGGAGAAAAATTTTTAGCATTTATGTGTTTTAATGGAAAGACCCATTAGGTTTGTTCCTAATGAAATTCATGAGCATTCTTTCTTCAACACAACAAAAAGGACAGTGAGTCCATTAATGAATATGTAGCTGCATCACGAAAAATGTTGGAACACTGCAATTTTGAAGAAAAATTAAACAAGCACATATAAGGTGATTTGGTTGTAGGATTGAAAAACGAGAAGATTCAACAGTGTCTACTTAGTGAGAGGACTCTAACATTGGTAAAAGCTGTTGAAATAGCAGTGTCTATGGAATCTGCCAGGAAGTATTCCAAAGCAATGCAGGGAACAGTGACTAACAATACCGAGACACTCATTCACAGATTACCAGGGAAATGTGAATGCTACCATTGTGGGGGACCCCCCCCCCCACTTCCTGACAAAATCCATTTAAAAACAAAGGATGTTTCAAATGTAGACGTTGAAAGTGTAGACAAGATGAAGAAATGCCTTCTAATGCTACTGCACATAATGAGAAGAGAAGGACAGTGAATAACGTGGATGAGAATTATGTAGAAGAAAGGCAGATAAGCATGGAAAAATTGGATCTGCATTCCGTTGCTATTCTCTAAACACCACCACCTAGTGGAAGTGTTAATAAACAAGAAAAAGGTAATCATAGCGGTAGACACAGGTACCTGAAGCTCTGTAATAAGTTTGACTAAATTCAAGGATTTTCGCCAACTTCAAGAATTAAAAGAAAGTTTGATGAAGCTGAGAACATACACTGGCAAGTTGGTGAAGCCATATGTGACAACAGAAGTCTAGGTATTATATGAAGGTATGGAGAATTGGTTGTTAGTGGTGAAGGGTGACATGCTAACGCTAGTAGGTTGGAACTGTTTGCAAAATGTGAAGCTGAATTGAAGAACTTTAAATGGGGAGGAGGCCCTTCTAAAATTAAAGGATCTACTCTTGGAATTTGATTCAGTGTTCAGTGAAGAAATGGGTCACCTGAAAGTATTCAAAGTAAAATAATGTCATGATGTCAATGTATGGTGGTGCCACCTACCATTACCTTTACATTCTACTCTACAATGACTTTTGTCATGTCAGTATATGAAGGATTTAAACAAACCTTTAGTAATAACTTATATATTGAACTGGGATGTGGAGTTGTATCCTTTTGTCTCAAGTGAAACAATGTGTTGAGATTTGTCCTTTATCTATAGGGGACATCTTTTGATAAAAAAACAAAATCTTTTGATAAAGTGGCAAGTCCAAGTTTTTGCCAGGCAAAGCCAGTATCCATGCCATAAAGGAGGAGTTGGAAAAATAACTTGACCATCTGGAAAGCCAAGGCATTTTTAAGAGAGTGGAGTATTCTCACTGGGCTGCCCCCATTGTGCCAGTGGTCAAAAACAACAATGGAGGCATCCAGATATGTGGTGATTACAAACAAACAATAAATGCTGCTGCACCATGTGATAATTACCAAATATCATGAATGGAGGACCCATTTGCTACACTAAAAGGTGGCCAGAAGTTTAGCAAACAAGACTTAAGCCATGCCTAACAGTAATTAAAGTTGGATAAGGAAACACAGTAATTGTTGATGCTAAAGATACATCAAAGATTATACCAGCCCACCAGATTACAATTTGGGGTGCACAGTGCAACCAGAAGTTTTCAATGAGTGATGGATAAGAGGTTAAAGGTTATTCTCTTCTGTAAGGTATGCATGGATAATATCCTGATTTCGGGTCATGATGATGCTAGTTATCTAAGGATGCTACAGAGCATATTTGCTTCACTGGATGAGGTAGGACTAAAATTTAAGAGGAGTAAGTGAAAATTCCTTCTCTTGGAGGTAACATATCTAGGTTTCAAAATCAACAAGGAGGGCATAGCTCCTCTTCCAGAGAAGGTGCCCGTTATGATAGTCTCCCACACCCAAGAATGTCACAAAATTGAAAGCTTATCTTGGGATGGTGAACTACTATCACAATCATTTACCCAATTTGTCAAGCATACTGGAGCCAATGCATAGTTTAATGTGGAAGGGCACAGCTTGGAGAGGGAGTGCCAGTCAGAGGAGAGCTTTTAAAGAAACAAAGAAAATCCTGTGTTCTGCATCCCTTCTAACTGATTTTGACCTATTGAAGACCATTCTGGTAAAAGTGGATGTTTCTCTCTATGGACTAGGAGCTATGATGTCTCATACAATGGAAAATGGGAGTGAGAAGCTGATATGCTTACATTTCATAAACGGCTTTCTGATGCCGAATGGAATTATGGCCATATTAAATAGGAAGGGTTGACCCCGGTTTTTGCCATGAGAAAGCTGCACCAGTATTTGTATAGGAATTGCTTCACAATATTCACTGGCCACAAGCCATTGTTGGACTATTTAAAGAATACAAACCTATTCCCCCTCTTGCTGCTGCTGCTGCTGCCAGGGTTCAGTGCTGGGCTCTCTTCTTAACAGCATTCAACTATAAGTTGAAGTACTGTGCTGGGTCTCTTAATGGAAATGTGCACATTCACAAATCAGATACACATGATGAGCCTGGTTGATACTCTAGTGACTGTGACAGCAGTGATATCAGAAATGTGATGAGACCCCATTTGAGCCATTTGTATGTATATACAATGAAGGACTGGAGTAGTTATGCTTTGATTGAAATATTGAAGTCCTGTTTCAATAAACAAGAGGAGTTAATATGTAAGGCTTGGGCAATGCTATGTGGAAACAGGGTTATCATTCTGTCCAAATTAAGATTGAAGGGATTGTGTTCATGAAAGCCCTTGCTTGGAATTATATTTGATGGTCAAATTTAGACATGGACATTG